CCTGTTGAAGAGTGAGTGAGAGGCCCCTCGACGTCCCCGCGGCCCTCCTACCTCCAAGCGGGTGGAGGAAGCCGCGCCACTCCCTGCCTCGCCAGCTGTCCCCTTGTCTTCAGCAATAGGCTCTCTTCGGGGCACCGGGCGCGGTGCCACTGAGCTAAATCCCGGGCCCAGTAGGCGGCTCTTTGTGCCTGTGTTCGGTCAGTCAGAACCACCCGGTGCGGGCCTGGGAGGCTGCACTTCGACCTCGTCAGGGTCCCCAGCCCTCGAGACGCCGGGTCGATGACCACTCTGGTTGTAGGAGCAGTGCCACAGCGACAGGGGGTTGAAGGGCGCTGTAGTTACAGATGTCAGCTAACCGTCATGCCTAGGTACTGGCAAGTGCCTGACGTGACTGCTTGGTGGCTTGTTTTCGGACACTGGCCAGCCTTGCAGCGACCGTGGTGCTGACTCATTTTCTCACCTTTGTCCTCACCCAGACCTTCCTGTTGTTCTGTTCTCTGGCCGGGATCCCAAAGCAGCCTGTGCATGCCTGTCACCGAGGGCCCGCTCGGTGTCCTGTGCCTTTCTGCGGGGCCGCGAGTGCAGGGCCCTGCTCCCCAGTAGAAAGACCTTACTGTACTTCTGCACTCCGCCCCCAGGCAAGGTGCTCCCTGAGCTGCTCCAGCCTTACGCAGACCGCGTGGAACACCTGAGTGAGTTCCTGGTGGACATCAAGCCCTCCTTGACTTTTGATATCGTCCCCCTGGTGGACCCCTATGGGCCCGCGGGCTCTGATGCCTTGCTGGAGTTCCTGGTGGTCAGCGAGGAGACCTATCGTGGGGGGATGGCCGTCAACCGCTTCCGCCTGGAGCATGTAACCCCTGTGGGAGAAGGGCGAGGGAACGGGAGGGGAGGCAGTGAGGGTGCAGGGTGGTGGGAAGCGGCTAGGAGGACTGGATCCCAGCTTCCCCAGGAATAGGAGGAGTCTGGGGCAGGTTGGGGGGGGTCTGGGTTTATCCTCCCCCTCTTTCATCTTTTTGCCCTTTCCTGCAGGGCTTGGAGGAGCTGGTCCTGTACCAGATTCAACTGCTGAAGGACCAGAGTCACAAGGAAAATGAAGAAGACAAAGTCAGCTCCTCCAGTTTCCGCCAGCGAATGTTGGGTACCCTGCTGAGGCCGCCAAATGTAAGCCTCCCTTTTTCCTGCTTGTGCCTGGCGTGCTGGGAATGCTGCAAAGGCGGAAGCGAGGGCCTCAGCCCCAGGTGAGCTGAGACTGGTTGTCTTCCTGCAGAAGAGGCCAGAGCTCCCTCCCTGCCTCTACGTGGTTGGCCTGACCGGCATCAGTGGCTCTGGGAAGAGCTCTGTCGCTCGCAGGCTGAAGAGCCTGGGGGCCTATGTCATCGACAGTGACCAGCTGGGCCATCAGGCTTATGCCCCGGGGGGCCCCGCCTACCAGCCCGTGGTGGAGGCCTTCGGGACAGGTAATGACCATGGCCGCCTGGAGGCCAGGTGGTGGCTCCGCCTCTGCTCAGCACCCTTCCTGTGTCGCCTAGACATTCTCCACAAAGACGGCGTCATCAACAGGAAGGTCCTGGGCAGCCGCGTGTTTGGGAACAAGGTGAGGGGGAGATGCTGCTCAGACCCCACTGGCCACCACCCAAAGCTGTTCTTGCTTCCGGGGCTGGCTCTGGTGCTCGGGCTGCAACTGCCCACCGCCTTTGTCCCCTCCCAGAAGCAGCTGAAGGTCCTCACGGACATCGTGTGGCCGGTGATCGCCAAGCTGGCACGGGAGGAGATGGACTGGGCTGTGGCCCAGGGTGAGTGCTGGGTGAGCACTCACCCAGGTGTCCAGGGCCGCCCGCCTGCCTGGGGCTGGGTGGGGAGGCGCCGTGGTGATCGGGCCGCCCCGCAGGAAAGACGGTGTGTGTCATCGACGCCGCCGTGCTGCTGGAAGCGGGCTGGCAGGACCTGGTGCATGAGGTGTGGACCGTGCTCGTCCCGGAGACTGAGGTACGCTCCCCGTGCCGCCCCAGCCCTGGCCCCTCTGCCCCCGCTGACCCTGGTGTCTGTGCTCAGGCCGT